TAGTTAACGTCTTTAGCAAATTTAAGACTGTTTTCTCCCCTCCCAAAGATCTTGCGGGGCTCTCTTTATCTTCTCAGGGACCTAATAGAAGTTTGTACAGTCTTTTCAATTACAGGAGTTTTTTTCCCACAGTTCTTTTGAATCCCACAATGTATAGAGGTTTCTGGAAGTCTACATCTACTTCCATGTACAAATTTTCCAATGTTATTTTGGTTACTGTTATAAACATTGATCAGCTTTATTTCTAGAGGTAATGATGATTCCATGGTACAGATATAAACTTCAATAAGATTCATAATAATCCCAAGTAGAACCCCCAAAATACAACCCATATGTCCTCAGCCTCATTTGCCTGTAACTACCAAATGAGATTATATTACTTAATAACTTTTTTGCCCAAGTTATTCTAGCACGAGCACCCACTTTCCTATTTACAACCCTACTTCAAAGTGTTCTATTATGTAGTGTTCTCTAGCTATTTCTAAGAGTCTCTCCTGGGCTTCTTTACTCAAGAATAAGTTCTCAGCTGGGCACAGTGGCTCATGCCTGTAATCCTAGCACTCTGGGATGCCAAGGCAGGAGGATTGCTTGAGCCCAGGAGTTTGAGACCAGCCTGAGCAAGAGCGAGACCCCATCTCTACTATAAATACAAATAAATTAGCCAAAACAACTAAAAATAGAAAAAATTAGCTGGGCATGGTGGTGTGTGCCTGTAGTCCCAGCTACCAGGAGGCTGAGGCAGAAGGATCGTTTGAGCCCAGGAGTTTGAGGTTGCTGTAAGCTAGGCTGATGCCAGGGCACTCTAGCCAGGGCAACATAGTGAGACTCTGTCTCAAAAGAAAAAAAGAATCAGTTCTCCAGTGGCTGGTCATTTTGTGACCATACTACTTGTTCAGCTTCTGTGGCAGATGACTCCCAGGAGCTTGCCACATCTTCAACAGTGACCACAAGCAGCAACCTCCTCAGGCTTTTAGTAAGGACAGTGCTTTCTGTCCTGACTGCTGCTGGTGGGGCTGGAATCTGTCCCCTTGAGGCTAGTGTGACTTATAACTTCTGTCCTGATGCTACCTGACTTCCTCTTCCTCTCCTGCCCATTGTGTTAGTTTCCCAAGATCGCGTTATACATACTTTCCTTGTCATCTTGTTAGAATTGGATGTGGAAGTTGAGGAGAAAGGAAGAATAAGGGATGTCTGCATTCTCCTCCAACTCCCTTCTCACAGACAATGTACCATCACTGCTTCACAATTATTGTGGCATGTGTCTGTCTTTCCCTCTAGACTACAAACTCTCTATTTTCCACAAGTGCATGACTTACATTAGGCTCCTAGTCAGTGCTCACTGACTGAGTAGAATGCTATGATAGCTGCACATACAAAGTACTGTGAGGCCAGAGAGAAAGTCATCTGTCAGGATCAGATAACTCTCCCTGAAGAGGATGCAAAAAGCAGTGCTTAGGACTTGGTCTTGAAGGATAAATAAGAATTCACTAGGCAGATGACAGAAAGTAAGAGTGGAGGATAAGCTGTTATAATAAAGAGACTCAACATACACTGTGTCAAATAGGATAGAAGTTTATTTTCCTGTCATATAACAGACCATAAGTATGCAGGTAGTCTGGGTTGGGTAGGAAGTTCTAGCCATAGGCCCTGCTAAAACTCAGGAAAATTCTATTAGTAAAAGGAAGAAGGAGAGAATGGTTACGGCCCTGCATTCCAGATTAAGGGAACAGCCTATGCAAAACTTATGAGTGTAAAAAAGAACAGCTTGTTTGGGAAACAGAGAAGTTCAGAATACGTAGAAAGTAAAGTGTGGGCCGGGCGCGGTGGCTCACGCCTGTAATCCTAGCACTCTGGGAGGCCGAGGCGGGTGGATTGCTCGAGGTCAGGAGTTCAAAACCAGCCTGAGCAAGAGCAAGACCCCGTCTCTACTATAATAGAAAGATTAATGGCAACTAATATATATACTAGAAAAATTAGCCAGGCATGGTGGCACATGCCTGTAGTCCCAGCTACTGGGAGCTGAGGCAGAAGGATTGCTTGAGCCTAGGAGTTTGAGGTCTGTGTAGCTACGCACACCATGGCACTCACTACCTAGCCTGGCAACAAAGCGAGACTCTGTCTCCAAAAAAAAAAAAAAAGAAAAAGAAAAAGAAAGTAAAGTGTGAGGGGCAGAACTGGGGGGATGAGGAAGAAAGGTGAGTGGAAGCCTGATTGTAAAGGTCCACCTCACAATACCCCCAACACACACCCATTCATTCACATCTGCTTTGCCCTCTCATCTGTCAGGATCAGACAGGCCTCAGGGCCTTTATAGGTACCTGCTGTCCCTCTACCTGGAAAGCTCTTTCCCCAGATCTTCACTGTAACTGCCTCCTGTTCTTCACTCCAGTCTCAGCTCAAATGTCACCTCCTCAAAGTGGCCTTCCCTTATAATGCTAGCCAAAATAGCCCCCTCCATATCAACTTTTATTCCAGTACTCTATTTTAATTTCTTAATAGGCCAGGCATGGTGGCTCACGCCTGTAATCCTAGCACTCTGGGAGGCCAAGGTGGGAGGATCACTTGATGTCAGGAGCTTGAGACCAGCCTCAGCAAGAATGAGACCCCATCCCTACTAAAAATAGAAAGATATTAGCCCCAGGCAACTAAAAATAAAAAAAATTAGCCAGGCGTGGTGGCTCACACCTGTAGTCCCAGCTACTCAGGAGGCTGAGGCAGGAGGATCGCTTGAGCCCAAGAGTTTGAAGTTGCAGTGAACTACGATGATGCCACTGCACTCTGCCCAGGGCGACAGAAGGAGAAGAAAAAAGACACAGAATGGGATAAAATATTTGTAGTTCACATACCAACAAAGGACTTGTATCCAGAATATATAAAGAACTTAGAGATAAGAAAACAATCCACCCCATAAAAAAAAGGGCAAAAATATGGACACTTCACCAAACAAGATACATAGATAGTATGTTAAAATATACTCAAAACCCTTAACCATTAGGGACATGCAAATTAAAACCACAATGAAGCCTGGCAAGGTGGCTCATCCCTGTAATCCTAGCACTCTGGGAGGCCGAGGAGGGTGGATGGCTCAAGGTCAGGAGTTCAAAACCAGCCTAAGCAAGAGCGAGACCCCCATCTCTACTATAAATAGAAAGAAATTAATTGGCCAACTAATATATATAGAAAAAATTAGCCAGGCATGGTGGCGCATGCCTGTAGTCCTAGCTACTCAGGAGGCTGAGGCAGAAGGATTGCTTGAGCCCAGCAGTTTGAGGTTGCTGTGAGCTAGGCTGACGCCGCGGCACTCTAGCCCAGGCAACAGAGTGAGACTCTGTCTCAAAAGAAAAAAAACCAAAAAACAAAAAACTGACAATACCAAGTGCTAGTGAGAACATGGAGCAAATGGAACTCTCATATGCCATGTATGGTGGGAGTGTGAAATGGTACAACCACTTTGGAAAACAATGTGGCAGTTTGTGATAAAATTAAACATACAATTATATGATCCATAAATTCCACTGCAATGGGGAAGTCCAAGAAAAATAAAGATTTATGTTCACACAAAAACCTGTTTAAAGCAGCTTCATTCATAATCACACACACAAAAAAATACGGGAAACAAAACAAATTTCCTTTAACTAAATGGATAAACTTTGGTATATCCATATCGACTATTATTCACCAATAAAAAGGAATGAATTACTGATACACTCAACAACATGGACGAATCTCAAATGCATTATGCTAAATAAAAGAAGCCAACCTCAAAAAGCTACAAGCAGTATGATTCCATTTATATGTTATTATGGAAAAGGCAAAATTTTATGAAAAGAAAACAGCAACTATCAGAGATTGGGATGGACATGGGGTTGTCTACAATGTCAAAGTACAAGGACTTTTTTGGGATAATAGAACTGTTCCGTATCTTGATTGTGGTAGTGGTTAAACAACTGTATGCATTTGGTCTAAACCAGTGGTTCTCAACTGAGGGTAATTAATTCTGCTCCCTATGGGACATTTGGCAATTTCTGGAGACACTTTTGGTTGTCACAACTCAAAGGGAGAAGAGGTACTATTGGCGTCTATCAGGGATGCTACTAAACTTTTTGTAATGCAACTAGACAGACTCCCACAGCAAAGAATTATCCAACCCAAAATGTCAATAGTGTCAAGGTTGAGAAACCCTGGTCTAAACCAGAGGTCAGAAAACTTCAGCACAAGTGCCAAATTTAGCCCACCGCCTGTCTTTGTATGGCCCACAAACTAAGAATGGGGTCTACATTTCTTAATGATTTGGGGAAAAAAAAATCACAAAAAGAATATCTTGTGAAAATTATATAAATTTGAATTTCAGTGTCCATAAAGTCATGCTCATTCGTCTGTGTGTTGTCTGTAGATGTCTGACACTCCAAAGGCAGAGTTGAGTATTTACAACAGACTGTATTCTACAAAGCGTAAAATATTTACTATCTAGCTCTTTACAGTAAAAGTTTGTTGACCCCTGGTCTCGACCCATAATAATGTATTCAAAAAAGAGTATATTTTGAAATAAAATTTTAAAAAGAGTACTCATCTTACTTATGTAAATTGTAAAAAGTAAATTTTAAAACGTGAAACTATAAGCCAGGTGCGATGCCTCACACAATCTAAGCACTTTGAGAGGCTGAGGCAAGGCTTCACTTGAAGCCAGGAATATGAGACCAGTCTGGGCAACATAGGAAGACCCTATCTCTACAAAAAAATTTAAACAATGAGTCAGGCATGGTGGCACACACCTGTAGTCTCAGCTGTTGGGATGGCTGAGGCAGAAGGAAATCAAGGCTGCAATGAGCTATGATCGCAACACCGATGTTCCAGGCTAGGTGACAGAGCAAGACCCTATCTCTAAAAAAATAATAATAAATAAATAAAGTGGAAACTATAGATGCCTACACTAAGTTACTATAAACTGTGCTGACACACATTTCTATAAATGTGCATGTTCTTTCTGTTTTTTCTTATAGGAGCTACTGAATAATAGGAATTTATCACTGCCTGGGTTTTGATATGAAAATTTCCTGTTTAACAAAAAATCATATGCGACATTTCTGACCATGAAAAATCTCATTCAGTCTCATGGACACAGAGACAGTTTTCCAGAGAAGACATCTGTGGCGAAGCAGCTAATACCCCGTGCACTTGTCATCAGATCAGTAACGGGGTCTGACTGGATCTTTCTGAGCCGTGACTGCCCCTGGACTGAATGGGGCATTTATCACACTGTCGCAGACAAGCCAGCTGACCATCATGCACACAGGCCCAAGAGCCTGTCAATTAGCTCCTGTCCATTAGCCCTTGTCCAAACACACAAACACTCTGGCCCTGGTACTGCAGTCACATTATCAGTCCCCTCCAGACCCTGCAAGCGTGACCAGGCATGAGCTCGCTGTCTCCTATCATCCCTCATCTCCACTTGGACAAACTGGCAGTTAATTAGCTAATGTGGGTAAAAATGCTTGAAGCTGAAAAATGCTCAGCTGAGCTATTATGATAATTGGCTCCTGGGCCACCTTCCTCCAATTCCCTGCACCCTAAAGTTTGCCCACAGGACTCCTTCTATCTGTCAATAGGAAAACTACACAGGAAATGACTGAGTGGCCACCCATGTTCAAGGCTGGAGCCCCTCAATCCTCCTGGTGTTGCTGCTATGGATTCAGCCAACTAGAATTATAAATCTCGAAGCCTGGAGTCTGGATTGGCTTTCCTCTTTTAAAAGAACTGGTAGCTTGGCAGATCCAGGGTTCCCCAAATTATCAAACTTTGGATGATCTTTGGTCCCTTCAGCTGGATGGACCACTGACAAAGCCAAAACAGCCTTTGAAATGATTATGTGGAAATCATAGCCTTATTTGCTTTAAACTTGACATTCCTAGGGCCAAAATTCAATTCTCCATCTCTCAAGTCAAACTCCTATAGGAGCCATGAGAAATCTTTGTTCAGAAAGTTGATCACTGAAGGTCAGGGTGATTGCTAAAGTGCCCAAAGCTGTTGACATCTCCAACAGTTATCAAATGCCAAAATAGGAAGGTGCCCAGGGCAGACACATGTTACTCCTGTCTATCTCCCCTTTCTGAAAGGTACTTTTGCGCAGTGGAGCTGAAAATAGCTGACCTCAATCACCCAAAGCCCAATTTCAGAAGAGTTAACAGCACAATTTCATTGTGGTCCTGTTTGGGCAATTCCTGTATGTTCCTTAATGATACTTAAGGAACAGTTAGAGCATCCTCTGTTTCTCCCTGCATTTCTATCATCCTTCCTCTCCACTCCCATTCCTAAGTCCTCATCAGTACTCATTGTGGCAGCTATTAGAGTCTCCTGGGTCACCCCACCTCACTCCTCCCCCACCCCCATCTCTGCTAACTCTAAGCTCTCCTCCACTGCAGCAAGAGAGATCATTTGAAAGTCATTTGAAAACACAGTTATGACCATATGACTTCCAGCCTAAATGTGTTTGAAGGCCCTCTGTCATCCACAGAGTATGTTCAAATGCCCTAACTTGACAAACAAGTCACTTTAGAATCTGGTCCCCACTTCTCACCTCCCAACACGCCATGCTTGTACCACATCAGGCAGTATCCCCTTCCCCACCTGTGACCTGGACATGCTGCCCTTACACCTTTTCCTTCTTGAAATTCCCTCTCCACCTCATCTCCATCCATCCTCAAAGGCCAGCCCAAGTACCACCTCTTCTGGGAAGCCTTCCATGAGTTGATCTCTGAACTCCCAGAGCACTTTCCTTGTTATTCTCTTCAGCCTGCCCTGCTTTATACAGTAGCTGCTAATGTACAATTGTTCTCTCCCCCATGGGACGGTGGGCATCTTAAGAAAGTCCTATAAGCTAGTGTGTAGTAAGTATACTGTAAGTACTGGTAACCATTTAGTGACTGATGAACAAACAGAAGCAGAAAGATTATAGGCTAACAAGAGCATGAATCAGAGGAAGAGAACTGGAATGAAGGGAGAACCCCAAATCATTATAGAAAAAGAATGGTTGACAAGGTTGAAGACTTAGCTATCATCATAATAACAATAGGTGTGGGTATTGTGCTAAGAATTATCATGTTTACTTATCACATCCACTCCGTCATGTAGGTACTATTACTATCAGCATTTTATAGATGAGAAACTGAGGCTTGGAGAGGGCAAATTCATTTTGTTTCAGCCACTGGCCTCCTTGTTGGTTTAAACACATTCTACATCACAAGAAATGATAAAGAACAAAAGTAAATTAAAAAAAAAATAAAATACACACACATCCTATGTACTTCCACCTCAGAGCCTTTACCCTCTGCCTGAAACATTCTTCCTCCAAGTATAGGCAGGGCTTGCTTCCTCCCTTCTTGCAGATCTCTGTTCAAAACTCACCTTGTCAATGAGGCTTCCCTATGAATCCTATATAAAATGGCAAATAATCCTCCTGGCACTATCCCCTTACCTACTTTATCTCCATAGCACTTAGCTCCATCGGTCATACTACATATTTTATTTATTTTGTTTATTTTCAGTCTCTTTCCACTAGCTTATAAATTTCATGGTCACACAATCAGAGGCAAAACCCAGATTCAAACCCAGATTCTGACTCCAAAGCCAGATGATAACATTATAGTCACATGGGGCAAAGGGAACAGACTTAGTCTTCATGCCCCCAAAGGCAAATACTTTTGATCATTGGGGAGGCTTCAGAGAGGCTAATTTTGTCTTAACATGAGTACAATCCAGTTGTTAGCCGGGGCCCTCTCTGCCTCTTTAAAACCAGATAAGACTGGCTCAAATCCCCATTCCCAGAGATTTCCAAAAATATTCCCAAACATTATTGAAACTCCCAGGGCAATTACATTGTTATGATTACCTCTGGTTCTGAGTCTTTGCTTCCTTAGATCATCTCACGTGCCACATGTGTTATCCCTGTCCTGCACCTGGTTTTCAACCCTTTCTATAAATACCACACACACACACACACACACACAATCGCTTACCAGAGGCCTTTGTTACCAAACTTTACTGAACATTCATGGATTTAGCATAGCCACAGAAAACTTTCCAAATTTAGCATTAGACGTTCTTGTTGTTAAAAGCCTGTCTGCTACTATGCCACGCTATTTGACTTTCCTTTCTTTCTCCTTCTTTGCCTGGCCCCCAAATTCTCGAAAGCAAAAACAAACAAGCAAAGGAAAAACTAATTTTCTTATTCAAACCACTTAGCTCTGTCCTGCCCCTAAACTTAGTTCTTTAACCTCTCCATTTGTGTAGCCAATAATTTGGCCAAAATACTTAAGTGGTCAGGTTAGGTCATTCTCATCCTTTGTCTTATTTTCAGGGATGGAGGGTAGTTCAGTTCTTTCAGTCCATGAGAGAAAAACTTTCCTTCAGCACTAACTCTCCAATTATGGGACAGGTGACCTTTTAAGGCAGTGAGCGCCCCATCCTTGGAATTAAGCAAGCAGAGGGTGGACTGATATCTGAGTAAAGTACATGTAGATTTGCATATAAAACATGGATGAAGAAGATGGTGAAGATCCTTCAACCCTCAGAACTTATGATTATATAACAGACCAGGCCATTTGCCTTTTTTTCTGAACATCATGAAAATCTACAGGACATTTTCAATTGCATATAGTAGAAAACTAGCTCAAACTTGCTTAAACAAAAAAGGGAGATTTTTTTGCCTCACATAAATGAAAAATGAGGCAGCTGAATCCAGAAGCTCAAATAAATTTCCAGGTATATATCGTCTCCATTTCTTGACACCACTTAGCTAATGTTGACTTCTGACTTAGGTGAGGTCTCCCCTTGAATGGCAAAAACAGCCAATAGCCAGCTCCAGACCTACATTCTTCCACTTCTCTCCCTTACCCCCAACCCCCTAATAGAAGAGATGACCTCTGTTACATTTGTTCCAGCAAAAGTCTCCCATTGCCCCACTTGGGTGAAACGCCTATCACTAAACCAATCACTGTGATGATTGGCCAGGCCAGGGTTTTGGTGTTTTTGTTTGTTGTTGTTTTTTTCTTTTTGAGGAGAAGGAAAAAGAAGTTTATTAATTTGCCAGCAAATGAGGAAGTTGGCAGACTCCCATCTCAAAGTACCAATGTCCTGCCTCTAAACAGAAGTACAGAGCTTTTAAAGGTTCTGATTAATTCCATAATCCCATCTTTGGCTAAAACAATCTCGTGGCTTCTGCCCAGACTCAGCCCATCTTTGGCTAAGATAATCTGGTGACCTGCACCTGGACAATTCTCTAAGCTATCTCCTGTGTCACAAAGAACAAAGGACACTCTCCTGCCCCTCCCACCACTAGCCTGAGGCAGGGATGCATAAGGGTGAGGGAGTTTTGAAGAGACAGAAAACATTTTTATCCTTTTTCAGGCCATTCTGTCTGTTACATATTCTCCACTGTCAATTTTACCCTTCCATTGCTATGGGAGGAGGGGTAACATAGTCATCGAGCTGCTTCCTACTGACTTGGGGCAATGATTTAGATGGAAGGTACAGATTATCAGGTGAAAAAGGGCATAAGCAATAACTACAACTGTAAGTATTGACAAGGTGAAATGGACTGTCACCTTGCACAAAATGTCTAATACAGGGCTGGGTTACAAAAGAAACATGAGGAATATTACTCAATTCTAAGAAACGACAGTGAGCTAGCACCATTTATGCTATCCTGGATTAAGCTTAAACCCGTTATACAAAGCAAGGAGACACAAGATCTGGAAAATGGGCTACACATCTACTCGCCATCAAATTGGTACTGACTGATTAAAACTATGGTGCTGAAATAATGGTAGTGTTCACCAGGGATTTGGAGGGGGAGACCCACTACTTAGGGATGTGGCAAGCATTGTGGGGGGGAAGGGATTACCTCTAACTCTTTTTAAGGAGAGGCAAAGATATACAATATAACCAAAATGTCTAAAAAAAACCTGTTATTGGGAGGTGGACAGGTGGGAGGGGGGAGGAGGGAAAGGGTGTGTACTTACATAATGGGTGCGGTGCACACCACCTGGGGGTTGGACACGCTTGAAGCTCTGGTATGGCAGGGTGGGGGAGGGGTGGCAGGGGCAATATATGTAACCCTAACAATATTTGTACCCCCATAATATGAGGAAATAAAAGGAAAAATTATTAAAAAAAAAAAAAAAGAAGAAGAAGAAAGAAAGAAAAGAAACGAAACATGGGACCTCTGAGTGCAGAACTATTAGTTGTACCCTATAGGTGATCCAAGAGACCAGCTTCTGCAAATTCAGAAATCAAGCACAAAAATACTTGTAACAAACCAGGTTTAGGATAACACATCCAGCAGCAAGACAGATCAACAGAAGAGGTGATAGCCTGGGTAAATACTCACTAAGGAGTTGTCCCTCTATCTTTGGTGTGATGGACCCAAGGTTTCACTTCTGACAATTTTAACAAGGTGTGAGTCGTCAGAGGCACTTCATAGGGTCCCTTCCACTTCTCTGCTTTCAACTGGGGCAGGGACCTGAAAGAGGCAAACTCATGCATAGTGGTTAGCACCTGACCCACTCATTTGACATATTGTTTTATTCTATTGTCTTTTACTTGTGGTTATATTACCATACTTACCTTGAGATGTTAGGAAGGGTCTCTCATAAACTATTTCTTAGGGGCTTAATTTGAGCCTGCCTTTAAAGGGCTGCCCTTATCCAGAGGAGGGCAAGCAGCAAAGTCCTATCTCGCTTTAGGTGGATTTCATGTAATTTCTATTCTAGATATAGGGCTTGTGTACTTGCTGGGTTACCTCTGCTACAAAGGAGGGTCCATTATCACTCTACATGGAGGAAAGGAACCTATGGACATTTTTATGATCTGTGGATCATCATTGAGTTCACCATCAGGCCAAGGTTTCAATGCCCATCCCTGGAATTTGGGGTGGACTAGGCCCACTTAAACTATGTGGACCAAAATGGGGGAGGAATGTTCCCCAAAAGAAAATGAGGAGACTGTTACCAAAAGAAGGAGAGAATCCTAAGCAGGTAAAAATCAAAAGATGTCCATGACAATAGCCAAAGCCTACCCATTTAGTTAAGGAGACAGTCTGATCAGTAGAGGAATTCACCAGTGGGACTGGACCAAATCATTGACCTGAGGGACTCATGCCTCTCGGGCCTCCAGGAAACTACTCAGCACCAAAATAATGAGATTCTGTTTTTTACTGATGATTTAGCAAGGATTTAAAAAATGTTAATAGTCAGTGCTATGTCATAAGACAGGTACATTTATATCAGGATGATGGAGTGTAATTGGCACAACCTTTCTGGAAAGAGTTTTGGCAATGTATATCAAGATTCTTAAACATGTTTTGATCCTCTGACCCAGTAATTCCACTTCCAGAAAAATTTGTAAGAAAATAATCCAAGCCAGGCACGGTGGTGTGCACCTGCAGTCCTAGCCACTTGGGAGACTAAGGCAGGAGGATTGTTCAAGACTATAATGAATTATGACCACCACACCTGCAAATAGCCACTGCTCCAACCTGCCAGCCTGGGCAACATTATGAGACTATGTCTCAAAGAAAAAGGAAAGAAAGAAAGAAAATAATAAAAAATACAGACAAAAATTTATGCACAAAGATTTTCATCATAGCACTTTTGTAATAGCAAAACACATAGAAATAATCTATGTGCCTAAGGATAAGAGTTTGGTAAAAAATATATATATATAATATTGTAGAAGACTATACACTCATGAAAACTTTTAAAAGAAGTGATATGGGTCCGGGCGAGGTGGCTCACGCCTGTAATCCTAGCACTCTGGGAAGCCAAGGCAGGCGGATTGCTCGAGGTCAGGAGTTTGAAACCACCCTGAGCAAGAGCGAGACACCATCTCTACTATATAAATAGAAAGATATGTATATTAATTGGCCAACTAATATATATAGAAAAAATTAGCCGGGCATGGTGGCGCATGCCTGTAGTCCCAACTACTCAGGAGGTGAGGCAGGAGGATTGCCTGAGCCCAGGAGTTTGAGGTTGCTATGAGCTAGGCTGATGCCACGGCACTCACTCTAGCCTGGGCAACAAAGCAAGACTCTGTCTCAAAAAAATAAAAAAATTAAAAAAATAAATAAAAGAAGTGATATGGGACAGTTTTTATAATTTTGTTGAATAAGAAAGCAAAAAACAGGCCTGGCTCAGAGGCTCACACTTATAATCTTAGCACTTTGTGATACCAAGGCAGGAGGACTGCTTGAGGCCAGGGGTTCAAGACCAGACTGAGCAAGAGTGGGACCCCATCACTACAAAAAATAAAAAAATTAGCTAGGCACGGTGGTGCACACCTGTAGTCCCAGCTACTAGGAAGGCTGAGGCAGAAGGATTGCTTGAGCCCAGGAGTTTGAGGTTGCAGTGATCTATGATGATGCCACTGCACTCTAGCCCAGGTAATAGAGCAAGAGAAAGAAAGAAAGAGAGAGAGAAAATTAAAAAGGAAGGAAGGAAGGGAGGGAGGGAGGGAGGCATGTCTATACAGTATAATATTAACTATGTAAAACAAAGCCACGTATACTCAGAAATGAAAACAAGGAAATATGTAAAAATGACAGCAGTGTTTCTTTTCTTTTTTTTTTTTTGAGACAGAGTCTCACTCTGTTGCCTGGACTAGAGTGCTGTGGTGTCTTCTAGCTCACAGCAACCTCAAACTCCTGGGCTCAAACAATCCTCCTGCTCAGCTCCGAGTAGCTGGGACTACAGGCATGCGCCACCATGCCTGGCTAATTTTTTCTATATATATTTTTTTAGTTGGCCAATAAATTTCTTCTATTTTTAATAGAGACAAGATCTCGCTCTTGCTCAGGCTAGTTTCAAACTCCTGACCTTGAGCGAAGGCCTCCCAGAGTGCTAGGATTACAGCGTGAGCTACTGCGCCCTCAGTGCTTATTTCTTAATGGATGCTTTATCCATTGTTTTCTTTTTACTTACTTGTATTTTCAAAGTTTTCCTCAATAAGCAAACATTACCTAAACATTTTTTTTGAAAGTCACCCCTTCTTAGCTATTAAGGATATGGCCACCCCCTTACTGCATCAGTTTGCCTCAGCCATTTAGACACTTGGGAAAAAATGATTGAGGGATGACAGATGAAGGTAAGTGACTTTTTTGTCTTACTCTCCCCCAATCATCCACAGAAAGATCAGTTTTGGCCAGGCAAGGTGCTCACACCTAAAATCCTATCACTTTGGGAGGCTGAGGCAAGAGGATCACTTGAGCCCAGGAGCTTGAGACCAGCCTGAGCAACATAGTGAGACTCTGTCTCTACAAAAAAAAAAAAAAAAATAGAACAATTAGCCAGGCATAGTGGCATGTGACTGTACTCCCAGCTACTTGGGAGGCTAAGGCAGGAGGATCACTTGAGCCCAGGAGTTTGAGGCTGCAGAGAGCTGTGATGACACCACTGCATATTAGCCCAGGCAACAGAGTGAGACCCTGTCTCAAAAAAAAGAAAAAAGAAAAGAAAGAACAGCTTTTCAGTTTTTCTTGTAATTGCCAGTCCTCCCATAAGACAGAATTCATAATTTCATCACATGGTGCTTTTTTTTTTAAGTACAATTTAATAAACCCTGGGAACAGAACATAAACTTGTGTTGAACCCTGATATGAAAATGAATAGGCACTGGGCTTCTTGCTGCCAATGAAGTGCCAGTGCAAAAGGATGCCTAGGCTGACCCATGCCAGAGACTGACAGAGACATGCCCCATTTCAGGCCTGCCGTGGGAGCTGACTGCAGGAATTCCAGACTACTGCATTTTAGGCTCTGTGGACACATTCTGCCTAGAAGCCCCTCCAACAACAAGGTCTCCTTCACTGCAGGCCATGGCTGATTGCCAATGATTGCTAGCTAGGGAGACAGAAAACAAGATTATGCTTCTAGGACAACACAAATGGCACCACCTCCAGGAAGCTTTTCCTACCCCCTCCTCTATCCTCACTCCCCCTCCAGATTGCACTCTCCCCCAAGGACCGTGGGCTTGGTGCTTTCCCTGC